ACTGAAACATTAAAATTGAATACTACAATTGTTTTAAAATAAAAGATATATGTCAATATCCTTTTTTTTCGTGTATAAGTTTCGATATTTATAATGCGTACCAGTGTAAAATTGTATTCGTACCAGTGTTAAATTGTATTCTAAATGGATATTTCTTTCAAAATGAAACTTACTTTAGGGATTCTGTTTTTCTCTATTTCATTTTATCATCATTAAATCTCGCGTATAATTAGATGAGGGATCAAAGGTAATTGGCAATGTGAGTTGAAATGATTTTCAAAGGATTAACTTGGACTGGCAGTGCTTATATCTTTTTGATAGTTTTTCTTCAAAGAATAAGGTTCGTTTTGTGATCAAACAACTAATTTCTTAAATTTTTCGACATTTAATCTGACCCGGGTTTTCTCAATGCATCGCCTGTTTCTAAAATTAGAAACTGGGTTTCCCGCTGTTACCCAGCTGCACTTTATTTTTACTATGCCGAACGGGGTATACATTTTGTATATCCCGTGGACGATTTGTGTGCATGAAATGTCGAAACATATAAGAAATTAGTGCAAATAACTGAATGTGCCTATTTATCGATGTTTTGCATTAAATGAAAGTTTATAGTTGCCTTACCTGTGCCAGGTGCTTGCATGCACTGTTTTCATAATAAATATATCGATTAATGTTCAAAATTGTCTTTTTACGTTTCGGTCAAGCTATGCTCGACCAAGACAAGCTTTAAAATTCGATCTTTTTCTGTATACACTAGTATAAAATTGTACATGTTTTGAAACAGAAATAATTTCTGAGTCGACTGCTCTTTATTTGGAAAAATTGGTTGAAATTTAACAAAGATCTGGGACTTAGAATGAGGCCGGATGAAAGTTCCGCGTGTGAACCTTTCTACATTGTTTTTGTTTATAGTATATATTGGTAAAATTATAAGAACCACGCACAGAATGCCTGTGCATTTTTGCATAAATATATATATGCAAATACCCAGAATTTTCTGATCTGTCACATTTTCATTTATCATACGAAACAATTTTCACATTCTTTTTACTTTGGTCTTGTTTCTATCACAATACATTTTGAGCTTTCATAATTTAAGGCTACATTATTTATTTTGCATCAATTGTTTATGTCATTTAAATGGTGTTGCCGGTGCTGGAGGGCGTGAGGGATGTTGCACTTATCCAATATCCCTCATGTATAGACTCAATCAAACCGAGTCTGCAATTCTTATGTTATTTTGTTCTGATTAATGCTTCCGAGGGATCACTTTGTTTCCAGATTTTTTTATTTTTATTTTGATATACTTTTTCCCGAATCATAGAGAGTATCTTTTGAAATAATGATGTAGAATGATTTTTGCGAAAGCCTGATTGTGTGATATGAATAATGTTTCTATTTTCAAAGTATGAATGTATTTGTTTAGCAATATTGGGTTTAATATCTTAGATATAGTTGATGAAATTGAAATCAGTCGATAGCTGTTTGCTTTATCATTATATCCCGATTTAAAAATAGGAATTACTCTAGCTGCTCTTATTATGCATTTGGGAAAATACTAGCTGTAATACTATTATTAACAATTGATGCAATCTTTGGTGCAATATAACCGCCAAATTATGTTTGGCCCTATTTCATCGTATCCCTTAGATTTTTAACAACATTCAGTTTTTCAATGATCAATTCATATTTAATTGAAGTTTGTGAAACATCTTTAATTCCGTTGATCGCAAAATACATAAAATTTACTACTACAATTTTGTAAAAAGAAATCTTTAATCAATTGAATACAAACAATTTTCTTCTTTCCTTTGTGCATGTAGCCATTGTGACGAGTCTTAAATTGTACAAAAACCGATAAAATGCGTATACATTAATAGGAGTCATTTAAGGTTGTTATACATTTTAATAGGTGTAAATATTAAGGAATTTAATATTCAATCAGAGAAGTAACGTAGAAAATAATATTGTATTGATAATTTCTCACAACTTACGTCCATATGGAGAAGTCTATTTTGCAAATAGTTCAATAGTTTAAATTCTTACCAATGTAAAAATGTATAATTTCTTTAAGGATATTTATTCAAAATAAAACTTCTTTTATATCTTTTTAATTCTCGTAAATAACTAGAAGACGGACAAACGGTAACTGGAGTTGTGAGATGAAAGGATTTTCAAGGGATTCACTATGACTGGCGTGTACATATCTTCTTGAAAGGCTTTTTTCAAAGAATAAGGGTCGTTATGTTATCATTTCTTTTGTATACGTATCATACTTACAACACATAGTAAAACACAAACATAAGAAAGAAACCTCCAGAAATAAATTCTAGACTTATTAATTACAAACGGAATACGCTGCAACGAAATGCTGAGTTATCAAAGTGATTGACTCATTCATATAATTCCGATAGACACTCAACTTAACAATTTGTCAACACACATAAATATTGCATTATACAAATATACGTTCCTTCCTTCATTCATTCATTCATTCATTCATTCGTTCGTTCATTCATTCATTCATTCATTCATTCATTCATTCATTCATTAGATCTTTCCACGAAGTCTTCATTGATTTCCTTGATGAACATCCCTTTCTTTCAGAGGTACTTAATGACTGCTTTGATTTCAACTTCCTCCATTTGGTCTTAATTTTCAATAAGATAATCGGTATCGACGTATCGTGTGTAAATGCCTGTGTAGTGGCTAGAAGTATATCAGGCCGAGAACTTTTTGTTCATACCAAACGACATTGCATGTCCAACATTGCATGACCAAACCCCCCAACCCCAAAAAAAGAAGATTTTGATCTAAAACAAATTTCAGACTTATGTAGCTTGATTAATGTTTTATTTTCTGAACAAGGTCAAACGTTGCAAATATTTGAGCTTCTTTTTTTCACTAAACTTGGAACACAATAAATTTAAATAAGACTGAAAATTTATTTATCTTGTGGATTGCTTTATCTTTCAAGTTATTATTTTGACTGTGCCGCACATTTTAATTCAGCCCTTACAGCACTGTTACCATAATCCTTCGTATACTATGATAAGCTGTCCCAATTCATTTTTTTTAATTTCGTATAAATACAAGAGAGAAGAAATCTGATAGTGTGTGGAATATTTTTTTTCCCAACTTTCCATCTTTATGCATTCTAAGGTTTTTGCTGTTGTTTCTTTTGTCATTTTTGCACTTATATCAAATAAATAGAAAAACACCATCGATTGTGTGTGGAATATTTTTTTTCCCAACTTTCCATCTTTATGCATTCTAAGGTTTTTGTTGTTGTTTCTTTTGTCATTTTTGCACTTATATCAAATAAATAGAAAAACACCATCGATTCCAAAGTATTACTTTTTCATTTATTATAAATTAAAAGGGGATCTAAATTATCATTGAATTTTAATGAAAAGGAGAAATACCGTAAGTGACATAATTTCAGTTGTTAGATCATTTATCATAATGACTTGTGTGCTTTCTTTTATTTGGAGACACATCTTTTATGATTGTTTAACCGTGAAGAAAATGTTTTGCCTATATCATTTCGCATGGATTATTTTCCTTACCTTACATCAGGCCAAACAAAAAATATAGTTCACAAGGCTTTGTAATAACAAAATACTTCTTCAAATGTGATCGAGCCATCAAAAAGATGCTGTTGCCATCGGCAAAGTGAAGGAGTCCTCGCATATGTAACGTTACTGAGCCAAAACAACAATTCAATAAGTGATGATTGAAAAATTATGTCAAATAATATTCATGGAGATATTAAATATTATCTTTGTTTATCAGTATCTGCTTCGTCGTTAAATACCTATAATAGTACGTGCCGATTTCAATTATTTCTTCATCACTTCATGATTTTATGACTTTCATGTAAAAAAAATAATCTATGTTCTTTTAAATGTTTTCGATGTGTTAAACATTGCATTTGCAAAAATAGAGTCTTAAATCGTGGTGATTTGGTCTGCTTTTAAGGAATTTGGTCATTTTTTTTCGTATTCATTATTTGGTTTCTCGCTGGTGTGGAGTGATTATTGTTATTTATTGTTGACAGTATCTTTTAAACCATGTTGCATTGCTTAAACAATGTACTTCATAATAATCGCCACATGAGAGTAGGTTTCTATCAACTCGTGCAATTTAGTCTTTCTAGGAATATTAATCGACATAATTCAGAAATATCATTATTAAATGGTGTCGACACAATAACAACCAAGGGCTCTTTTACATTACAGCACAATTTCGACGGCTTGATCACATTCGAATAAATAATTGCTTCGCGCCAATAGGCGCAGAGCTATTTGTATTTTTACTTTTTTGTCCATGGACCCGATTTTTATCAATTTATTCCTTCGCGTTCCGGTGATTCGCAGCGTGAAATATTAATGAATGAGAACGGGAACAAATTGTACATGGATTCGCAACTATAAATAACTAAATGACATTAACATTGTAAAAGTCCGAAAATATATATATAGAAGTAGTTTTAGTCTTAACGAAATGGTCATTCGTGTCGAGCTATGGTAATAAATAACGGACTGGAGAATTTTGCAGGAAATGCAAACATATTCAAAAATAAATTGCGCTCTTTATGAATTAAAAGAAAACATTTAGGAAGGCCATTTTTTAAGAATTGTTATATCACAGTATTGCTTATTTTGATATTGTGTATTCCGTAGGTTCTTTCCGGTATATAGGTCCTTTCTTTTTACGGCCCTGTTTGCTCTTCTAAACATTTAAATCGACCCTTATTTCTAGAAATTTTTCTGTAAGAGGTTTATTCTATTTGTTTTAAGGCAATTGGTTTTATGATAGTTTTGAATGAAATGTTGATTTGCCGGATACTGTTTTAAGGTATCTGTAATGAGCGCATTTTTGCGCAGAGCTTCTTAATTGCTGCATTGCAGCAATAATTTTACATGTATAATTCTATTCTTAACCAAGCCTTATGAACTATTATTTTTTTAATGTTATTGAGTCTTTTTTTCAGAATAACGTGGGCATAGAAAATTTATACCAGACATTTATTTCTCTCAAATTGTAAGTGAATATATTCTAATGTATCATGTGTGAAACATCTGACGAGAGGTTATATTACATAAGAACTAGTCTTATGTATACAGACCTGACAAGAGAGCTACTATTTAAAGTGTTCAGATTTCTGATAAAAAGAGAAAATATAACTGACTTTCTCACATCTCCAGAACAGCAAACAAAATTATGGGAACTGTCGAAAAGAAACCTTCTGAACAAGTGTGACTATAATTTAGTTTATGGTCAAGTTTTAAATCTAGAAAGATTTGATATTTCCCTATTGATAAGACTAATACTAAATTTGTGTAAAGACGAAACAACAAAGCCACAGCTTGGTTGGAAAACAAAACCTTTACCAAAAGATGAAAGCCTCGGTGCCGATCTTCTTCGTTTACGAAATGTCAGAAATAAGATTATTGGTCATCGAGCAGACGCAAAATTATCAGAAGCAGAGTACAAACAAGTCTGGGCAAAAGTCAAAGCCATCTTACTAAGGGTTATTGAGCAAGTTGACAAAGATTCAAGAGAAGACTTTGAACGAAGATTAAATGAATACCAACAATTGAATATTGATGCAGAAAAATCGAAAGTACAAAGGTTACTGAATGAATTGCTTCAATACAAAAAAGAAATAGATTTCCTGCAAGAAAAGGTAAATTATTTCAACTTCAAATTATTTTAGTATCAGCAATATAGTTTGCTTAAAATGTTTTAGAAATAATTCTACAAAAATATAATTGTCGAATAGGAGTAACATAAAATGTCATTCAAACAAAGGGCATTATACTTCTTTAAACATGACTATATTATAGAACAATCACACTTGTTTGGAACACAAAAGACCTAATAAGACCCGCCTTGAACCATGACGTTTGTGAAATATCATTCGTTTAAGGATTTCAGACTTTTAAGCAGTTCTAAAATTTAAACTCAGTTTACTTCTAATGATTTTCTTATATTTAAATTGGCAGCCTGTGGTTTAGGGCAAAATGGTCGCTAGGATATAAAAGATCTGGGGTTCGAATACCATTTCAAGCATTTGAAAAAATAATTATTGATTTATTTTACTGATATTATTAATTTATCTTTAAAGATGACATATTTGGTACTGTTTTTTTTGTTTGAACAAAAGGAGAAACAGGATAATCTATTTCACGCGCATGAGTTTATCTAAGATTAATATATATTAAAAGCAATAATTATATGTTGTTTAGCAAACCTTTCTTAGTTGTTGTTGTAGTCTCAAATGAAAAAAAAACAACATAAAAATTGTCTAATAACCTTATTTTATATGCAGATATAATAACATTATATATTGTTATTTATATCATATACATTTTAAAATGATCATAGAAAGAAAGCAACATTTAAATATCTTTAAATTATTATTTTCATGCTCAGATCAGCAACACCTCCGAAGCGATAAAAGCATACCTATTTTTTTCTTTTTAAAAGGTTGAAGAATTGATCAAAAGATCACAGGGTTCGTATTTATACTTATTATGTTCTTTTTAATATCTCATAGGTTTCAAACCAAATTTACCAATTTACCAATTTAGAAATATCTGCAATTTCTTAAAAAATAACCTTCAACTTTGTTTTATTTTCTTGACGATCGTCATGCTTAATTGTACACGAATACTTCTATGAATCTTACTCATTTACCTCTTAATCCATTCAGGATAAATAATCAGTTTCTAAAAGCAGTGAATAATCTTTTACAAGGAATGATTTGAACTGCTTTATATATAATTGCAGAATTCAAAACATACTTCAAAACAACACCAGAGCGATTTATACGTTACATAAAACTTCTATTTGATGGAGGCCGCCTTGTATTATGTGGAATACTAGATAGAGAGCTAGGTGAACAAGACCTATTGGATTTTCTTGAAAGAAATAAAGACGACTTGATTAAGAATATTGAAGAGAAATACTTAAGTTGTCTTTACCCACAAGACGCAAATTCTGTTAACCATAAAACGTGGGATGTTTTACTTCTGGCATTAGTATTGCTGCTCATGTTTGATGATGGTTTAAGCCAAAAAGAAATCAGGAACATCAACCTTATAAAAACTGCTAGACTGAATTATGCTGATCTTGCGTTACAATCCCTTGATCCAGATGATTTTCTGACCCAATGGACGGATCTTATCAATTGTCTGAATCAACTGTCGGTCAACATTGCCGAAGACGACAAACACAAAGTTGAATGTCTTATTGAACACAATAAAAGAAAAGACAACAAAGGATGTAATGCTGAGGAGTATTTCAAACAGCTCAAGGAATCTGGCGTTGAAGTAAAAACCCTGACAGACGTTTACAATGGTACACTTATTTATTTTTTTCTTTCTAATATTAGCTATAATACTTTTCTGACATACGGGTACTTCCGTAATTTCCACATACATTCATTCATTTTACAGCAATACATAATCATATAAATATATTCTATCAATTGAAAAATTATTTTGTGCATATTGACTGTTTAATTACATGGTAGGTTTTTTTCTAATCGACTAATTACTCTTCATCAAGTTTAAGTATTAAGCGAAACATGCATTTTGGTTAAAATATCAAATGTTGAAAATTCTTTCATAAAAACGATCGCAATTTTTCTGTTAACAATCTATAATACAAAGATTTATTATTAAAATTACTTTGTACACTGTATATATGTTTGCAGAAATCACATCGCAATTGAAAGATACGTTGAGAGAATTAAGCCAAAAAGGTATCAAGTTTCAACAAGATCATGGTGAGTATTCATAAGTTATAACATCATAGTTAAAAATGTGATTTCTACTTAACTTTTTCTTTATCAATTTGTAAAATATATAAACTTATTTTCATTTTCTTTATTGCATCACTACAGTTATGGAATTAAAGTTGCAGACAACATGTGAAAATGAAGAAATTAGAAGAAAGGCAGACGATTTGCTAGAAAGCGGTTTTCAAGCTTCCATTAACGGATCAGATCAACCTACAACTTTGATAAGGCTAGAAACAGACAAAATAGTAACTTGCCTTACTGCGCATCCAGATGTGACGCCCGGAGAAGTTAAACAAAAGTGCATCCTTATATCATTTAAATGTTCGACACCTTGTGGCTTACTGCACATTTTAGATTACGCAACCAGCAACACATTTCAACGTTCCCTTCTAAATATTGCAAACGAGCTGCACTATATGCAGGGAATTGTCTTTCATTTGCAAGGCAATTTAACACTTGAAAGTGTGTCGAGAGTAATAAAGATAATAGGCCAAGGTTAGTATTCTCACACCAATCCTTGTTTTTTGTCAATTAATAAATTATTTTGCTTAAACATTTTTAACGCAATGTAGTTAAGACTTTTTTCTTTTCGTCAACATATATTATTTTAATTGTTTTATAAGCTAAAACCAATGGTATCACATTATAAACAAAAGTCGGGCAAGTGCTAAAATCAGTAATACAAGAAAGAAATATATTTTGCCTCATAACTTGCCATTTTTTTTAGAAACAGGTGCCGCTTTCAAAGCACCAAGGGAAGAAACAATTATTCCACTCAAATGTTCATCTATTGATGGAATAAGATCAGTGCTTTCCGCAATTAAACAGGAAAAAACTACCAATAGTTTGAATAAAATTGCAGAGCAGATATCAGCGGAGTTAAAGGAAACAGTATCACTTAACATTGTTCCAGATCTGATGGAATTGCAAAGTTTCCTCGATGAGACGGGTAATTTGGAACAATATTTTGTATTAGATAAGATAATAAAAATTGATATTGTTTGGATGCCAACGATATTTTTGTACAAATTGTAACATTTTTGTTTTATATTTCGCTACTACGGGTTGTGTAAACGTTGAATTACATTTAATATCATTCATGGTAACTAATATTTGTCTGAACATACAAGATATGTAGAATTGTTCGAACACCCAGTTTTGAGAGCAATTCAAAGTTATAAAACACTGATATCTTTAATAAATAAATACTTTTCAATGTCTGAAAAGATTCAGATGAGTCAGGCTCATTTTGTAAAAACGAAGATGAGGAAGAAATATTGCATGGTGTTATCGGTAAGATATATCTTAATGTATTTATAATTTAATTGGAAAAGTCTTTTCTTCGTTTGATTACTGTTATGAATTTGTGGGAAAAAACATTGAACGCAAAGTTTATATTTTATTTATTTTGAAGAGAGTTTTTAGATAGGTAAGCCGTATAGTGTAACTCAATAACTTGTTAAGGCAAATTTTCTTCAAAATAAGCACCGGCCATTTGAAATATATTTTTAAAAAAAGTTTTCATGCCTTCAAGAAAGAACATGATTTCTATTTCAAAAATACCTGCAGGTGATGCAATGGACAACGAACAGACCAACTTCAATCATCCGAGTACCGCATCAACAGAGTCAAATAAATCGAAAACAAGAAGTGAACATTCAGTTGACAAAACAAACGAAACGACCATACATGAAAATGCAGATAAAGAAGCAGAAAATGTAAGTACACCTGGAATCAATAATGATAAATAACAAATGTTCATCTGGCAAGTAAACGGACGCGCAAAGAAATACGATGAGGCATCACGGACTATGCAAAACAGATGCAGACTTGTTTGAGGATGCCACCACTGCCATGCAGGTTGAATAAACAACACTAAGCCAAGTCAAAATCTGTTTAAATAAAAGCTTTAATTTTATTATTAAATGTTAATTCCACAATTTCTTTATTTTACTCTAGAGAGCTCAAGATTTGCTATAATATTTAATAATAGAAAGTTCAACAAAATACCCTTGTTATTAGTTTTCACGACTGTCGGGATTTAAAGCCAAATTGCAAACTAAAAACAGCCTGTCATATCTACTTATATAGACTCAGAAATAGCCAAGACTGTCATAATTGACCAATTATAACATTCCACTTGTCCCGGCAGGAAAGACAGGAACTTCTTAAAAATTGCAGCCATATTGACAAGAATAATTTAGAAAATGTTGTTTAACAAAGTAAACAAATTGCAAAATATGCAATGAACACTTGAATGACATGCTTAACTTAATGGACTTAAAATCTGGACCAAAAACAATTATGGTCATAGCTTACAAAATGAACTGTGATATAAAAAGATTCCAAGTGCCAGAAATTTGAATTTTCCGTCCTGACAAACTTAGAGGTGATACTGGTCATCAAGATTATTATGGAATACAGCAATGCCAGCTAAATATTTGGAAATTAACTTCATTCTTAGGTAAATAAGGATCACATTCTATGTTCTTACATGTAAAATGATAAGTATTTGTATATGTTTATGAAAATAAATGCATTCAAAGTTTTGGATCAAGGTAGACAATTCTTGTCGGCCATTTTGATGCCAGAATAAACAAAGTAAGAAAAAAATCATTTCTTAAAGTATAAACCTCCTTATAGTGTCGTATGTACTCCTAGAGCCTAACAATGTCCTAATTATCTTAGTTTGAGGCTCATATTTTCATAAAACATAATTTGTTTTTAAAAACTGATATATTCATAACAAGGCCCTTGAAGTAAATAAATTTAATAAATATTTACAGTCCCTTACCTTAACGATGCAAAAAACTCATTGATTCGGGCAGTGAATAAAGTTCAAAGTTTTTCTTGAATCATTTGCTTTCAATCAAAATAAATGCACCTATCAATATATTGCCCGCCCGGGGGGGGGGGTTGGGGGGGCGGTGGGCTGACCCAGGGGAAATTGACATCTTAAAATGTTTGAAGTCTAAATCCCCACCCTAGAGACAACCAATTTTGTCTAAATCCCCACCCTTAAGCCTGCTTGGTGCATCAAATGCCCCGGGGGTAGGGGAGAGGGTAAATATCTAAGAGATCAATCAATAAATAAAACTGTTATCACAAAAACAATGAAAAATATAAGTACAAAGGCTTATCATTAGGAAAATAATGAATCCAGATTAATGGGCCTCTGAAGTAAGGTAGGTATAGTCACTCCCAATGAGTATATATGTATCAATTGTAGTTTTTGACTTTGAAGATACTTATAAAATGGGTATTTTCAAGTTATAAAGGGGCATTATTCTGAAAATAATGCATCTAGGTTATAGGCCTTTTTAGTATGGTAGTGGTAGTCCCACTAAATACCGTACCTAGTTTCAATTGAATAGCTTTCATAGAATAAAATGTATGACTTAAAAAACTTAAACCATTGCGGACACGGACACACAATCGATTGTATACGCTCTTTTATATTTTACATTTATAGTTAAGCTACAAAATAAACCTACCTACATAGTTTCTGACTCCACATGACCCAGTTTCTGTAGGGATGGTAAGCATGCTGACCAAGCTTAATTATAATTGAACCATATCTGTTGCCTCTTAGAGTGTTAAAACAATAAAAGTTGAGGACACCTGATTTGCGAAGACAGACATTCACCGGTCATGATCACAATAGCTTCGTGCTCACAGCTCAGATGAGCTAAAAACTTACAACACTTTAACTTCTTATTTTATTTTAACATTTAACACAAAAAGTCATTTAAGAACATTCTTCCTCCTCAGCGGCCAAACCTGGACACTTCCACATTGTATTTCTGAAATAGAGGGCATTTTTATAATCTTTAAGGTTTCAAATGTATTAAGTTTCATTTAAATTGGACCAAAAATGTTCTAAGATTTGACCTAGTGACTTAATTTTTGTCCCCTCGTGACCTTATTTTGAACATGTTCTAGATTTCATAGAGTTGAACATTTACACTAAGTTTAATAAAGAATGGGCCAAAAATGTGGCCTCTAAAGTGTTTGCATTCTATTTCTAAGATTTGACCTAGTGACATAGTTTTTGACCCCACATGACCCAACCTTGAACTTTGCCGAGATTTCAGCCAAACATTTTGACCAAGTTTCATGGAGAAACGTCAATTATAACTAACAATGAACACAAAGCTACAAAAAGAACTGACATAATTTTCTTAAGCTAAGTTGCATGGTGTACTCACAATCTGGTGCACTTTCTTCGAGAGCCTGGATAGTAGCAGGAGCCTGGATGGGAGCTTGAGTCGGTATATTTAGGAGCTTGAACCTTGATAGGAGCTTGGGCCTGGATAGAAGCTTGAACCTGGATTGTTTAAAAATTAATAATTTAGTAGCACAACTTAACAAAGATTTCCAACATATATTTTTGATACATAAAACAGTAGGTTGTTTTTAATTCTATTGGAACAAAAATGGTACTGAATTTTGATTTTCGATTTTTTTAAACACATTATTTTTTAACAATTCTGCTGGTACTAAGTCTATCAAACTAATCTTGCAATTATGGTGGGGAATCACGTGATATGGAGACTACATGACATGGTATTGCAGCAATTGATAATCTTTCAGATTCTGGTGTCCATGTGAGAATTTTTGTCAATATCTTTGTTTAACAGAAAATATTTTGGAGTATGCGTAACTGACAGTGACATTATAAACAATATTGTGCTTTTTCAGGAGAATCCACCAATTTAAGTTTAAAGGAACATAATGCTTTTGTGAGTAAAATTTCAATTACTGAATAAACATATCATACTTATCCTCTTATTGAAGAAAATGGTTCATTTCCGCATTACTATTCTTTAGAAATTATTTTTTCCACCAAACATACCTCCAATTATTACATTTGAGCTACATGAGCGCAATATATTTATAGCGTATTTCGAAGATTTTGTTTCATGTCTTTAAGAAATCAAATGCAAATTTTTACATCAGAATTCTACTTGATGTCGTTGGTGTGAAACTGAATACTCTTTTATTTGAAATAAAGTTTACAAATGCATAACGGGACTTTAAGATACCATGTTACATCACAGGTCATCATATCAATGATTCCCCACCATGTCAATGATTGAAAATATACACATATTTAGACCACAGAAGTGCAATACCCCTTATGTTTCGTAATGCTTTCAGAAAAAAGAGTTTTTTTGGCATCTGGCTCATTTAATGTTGGGGCAATCATTTATGAAATTCAACTCATAATGTCATTGTGCCTGAATACCTTTTTCAAAGACCGTGTCTCGGACGCCTTTGCCTTGTCCCTTTTCTGTTGGCAGAAACACTTGTCAAATGGTCCAACCAAATGTTCACCTGTTCAAATATAAATCAACATTTAATACACTCACATTTATCAGATTAGAACAAAGCCTTAACATAGTTTCTGCAGATTCAATTTACTTTTTATTAGAGCAAGTCACGACCGTAAAGCAATACAAGACCAATGCAGATGAAACTGATAGCCAAGATTCAAAGCCTCGTTATGACAAGCAGTTGAAACAGTAAATGATAAAAAACAATGATGGTAATACATCTGAAAAAAGGATAATTTTATTATTTTATCTGGATCTGTTTTGACATTCATTGTATTTAAATGCATTTTCTTACTTTATTAAAAATCATATTATAACAGAGACATAGATAACAGAGATAAGCTTCTTCCTAGCCAGTTAAAATATCGCGCGTGCCTGCTAAACTTAAAACTTGTAGCAAGTAAAACTTATTGACCAGATATCAAAATCGGTAAAATAATACATTTTCTTAAAACTTATGCATTTGTCTATGGCTTCAGGTAAAAATATTTACAGTTCCCATTTAAATAAATGTAACATCATTTTTTAAAGAGAACTTCTTGATATTTTTTGTTACAAAACTATTCATATGACAAAAAAACTGGCTCAGTGGGTATGTTCTGCCATGTTTTTCTAAGGGAAAGGCATGGAAAATTAACAATATTTTAACATGCAGCCATAGATGAAAGATTTACCTTTCAAAGAAAGAGTATATATAATATTTAAGGATCAAATGTACATCCATGAAGTTTTATTTGCTACAAAATGCCTAATTTTTCACTTTTTGATAGGCATGAGTGATATTTCAATGGAGTATATAAGAGCTGCTTATTTCTATGTCTCTGATTCTAACAAGGCTCACGGAAACTACTGACTTGGAATCCCATGATTTCAGCCTTTGGATTTGGACTCCCTGCACGGATGTGCAGGCTGATCTAGATCTACACTGGTCGCATAGGTGTTAAAATAATTAAAAAATGAATAATTAATAACATAATTCTGTGTGTATGTATTCAACATCCGTTTTCTGTCACTTGATCAGTTCATTCATACTGCAGTTAAAGGGAATATCTCAGTCGATACGACATTTTCTGCTGTAATCGTTTATATTCTATAGGCAAAGTGAACGTTCTTTTGTGGATTTAGTATTATTAATACGAGATATGTGTCAGTTTCATGTGATTTCCAACGCCTTTCAGACTCGCAAAATAAATGGGTCTATTCGCGAAAACAGATGACAAACATGAATACCGCTCTCCACATAGTGTCTGGGTATAGGTGAAAACAAATGAAGAATACAATCCCTGTATACCTTTGCAAATATATCCCAATTCTGGGGCAACCTTCTCGCCTTATCCCACAATTTTCTTTACCGTAGAAAAATTCGAAAAGTTTCATGTCTGCAACTTCAAAAACACAAATAAAAATATCGCCGTCGTCTTTAGACCTTTCGCAGTGACTCCCCTTTTTTATTTTGTGGCGTCGAAATTCCCGAGTCCCGGGATTAAAAAACCGGCCAAAGTCTATTACCCGGGACCCGGATTCCATAAGTTTGTCAAATTCCCACCTGTCAGGAATGGTCTTCTGTCTAAAGCCCCGTGTATGCCCGCCGTCCCCGGTAGGGCAAAATATTGACAGGTGCAAAAGTAAAATAAATAAAAACAATTTAAAACAAGTGTCTTGTGAATGATGAATTTAAAATGTTAGCATTCCAAAACATAAATTCCGGGTATTGTTTTTAACAGCAAGTGAAAGCATATCTAAGTAATATAATTCGGAAAGTCAGATCATATTCTTTAGACATTCCTGAAATCGGTTAGCATTCCAAAACATAAATTCCGGGTATTGTTTTTAACAGCAAGTGAAACAGATCTTAGTAATATAATTCGGAAAGTCAGATCATATTCTTTAGACATTCCTGAAATCGGCCTTTGATTAAATTCATGTTAATATCAGACTGGTATGTGCCTATGTGTATTTCATACACTGAAATTGATATTAACAAAATATGTTTGTGACCTTAATTAAATGAAAAGTAAAGAATATTCTAAACAAAAGTACGTATAGTATCTCTAGTTTCTCACTGATTTTCTTTTACTTCAGGGTCACATAAAGGCTGTGTTGGTCGATGAAAAATTGAATGAAAGTATTTTAGGTATGTAAATACTTCCTGTTTTATTTTGAGCCTGTAAATCTCAAAGTATCATAAGTTTATTTTTAGGCTGTATGCTGTTTGTTTTCGACTTGAATGTCGGCCAATATACAGGTTTTCAGTCATTTTGTCACGGTATTTGCCTTAAATGAATGTTAATTTTACGTAAGGCTTTTTGCTGGAGATTAAAATCTAAATAAAGCTCTTTTTGCCAAAAAAGAAGATATGCATGCATTTCCCGTTCCTAATTCGGTGACATTTTTCAAACACCTAATACTGCCGCAGCAATTAAGAATTGAATGTGTTTATTTACTATGCCAATTCCCCAGGTCAAAATGTTTTCACAAAATGGACAGATAAATTCATCTGTTGGCTATGTTATACATCACCAATTACAAGCATTAACATTAGCCAGATACTGTTAGACTAAATTTACATTCATGGTCGAGTACATTTTAGGATAATTTATTTCGTAATAATTTATGTAAAGTTTTACACTTCTTGACAACTATTGAGATAGGAGAATGATATGGAAAATCAAAGTGTTGCTTAAACGACGAAACCATATCAAGAAATCCTAAAGTGAAGTTACTTGTAATCACAATAAAGCTGTCCGACTGGATTCCGCAGCCCGAATAAAGGCAAGATAGGTTTGTGTTATACATGGGCTTTTAATAAAGCCGTAAGCAAAATGAGCCGATAACAAGTAATGTTGACTATAATTATGAAAGACGCTTATTGATCTTATCATGTTTATTTTGGGAAAATACGAATTCCTACCAATCCAGGTTAGAAATAATCCTGCAGTAACGCAGAAGAGAAAAGTCAAGTTGTGGAAAATCAGCTTTAAGTTTGAAATTTGCCAAGTTGAGCAGGCATATAAAATTATCCGTTTTGTTGAGTGAGAGTATGTTGTTCGTATATGCGGTTTTGTGCTTACTATTTGGACCTCTCAACAGTGTTTAGGTTGATTGCAGGCGGCATCCATTTTTGCGCATCAAATTGAGTTTAATGAATCTCATTTAAAGCCTTAAATCATAAGAAACAGTCGACAAACATTGTTATGCGCATGCTCTGTTTTAAAATACGACTTTACTTAATAAACGAGAAATAAAAACCGACTTTAGTAAATTGTTTATTGTTTTATGAACAGCTAATTCGAAAATAAGTGACAGTAAACATTCATAATAGCTACTATACTGTGAAATTTGAAAAGGAGTATTGTTTTTCGGATGGTATATCTGGCCAACATTTTTTACTCATTTCGTTATAAAACAATTGGGTCATTAACAGTCCAGGTCATTGGCACAGCTCAGTTATTTTTAGATATGACCATTCCTCATCAGGCAGCCAGTAGAGGTCGCGTAGAATCAGCTTTCCAATGCACGCTTGTTTTAATTATGGCAAAGTTGTGCAACACAAGGTCACAAACTTAAAGTACTATTTTAACCCTTCATCATCATAAAAAATATCAGATTTTATGAATGAAATCCCTTACTGTGTATTGTATAAACATTCAAGAACCGGCTAGGAAATTTGAAAACATGGAATTTTTGAAAGGCTGCCTTACGAACGCTAGGCTGTTTACTTATTCTTCGGGCTGATGTCTGTCAAAGCTTTCCAAGTTATTTAGCAGTTATTGCGCGTAGGATACTTGAATATGCCCAAATGTCACCAAGAGCAGTTTTGCATGTTGAAGGAAATGTATTTTTTGACTGTAAAAATGAAACAAAAACTTAGTGACGATATTTTGTGATTGATAATTTGAATGAATTGAAAGTTCTTTTTATTACCTTTGAAATTTCAGTTTTTATCAATTTCAGCTTTGCTTTTCACTAAACAGCCCTGTAAATGTCAGAATTGTCAACAATAGTAAAATTGAGGTACTGCATGGGGAAAATCTTAAAAAGTAGTCTCATCATTGAAAAGTGTGAAATTATATCTTGATAATTTTCACTGTCAAATTATCAAATATAATTTTCGAGGATAAATCAGTAATCCACTGAAAAGCATAAAATAAATTACTAAATACATATCCATAGCAGTAAGTTACACTGAATGTTAAATAATTTCTGATAAAGATAACTAAATTAAGGTCAGAAATTATTCAACGTTGAAGAATAACATGTTTGAAAAACATGTTTTGTCGGAAACTCAAAAGAGCTCCTCTGAGGTTAATAAACATAAAACCATAAATTTTGAGCTTTTTACACGGATCAAGAGAAGCAAATAAAACGAAATATTGTTTAAAGAATAATGAATAAATTTACTCAGATTAAATCTGAAATCGATAGATATTCTAAGCCAAATGTAAGTAATGCTTTTCATTTTTGGTTTCTTTTGCACTTAAAAAAAATATATTTTGGGAAAAAACGGGATGAGGGAGTGAAATGATCTAAAAAATGCACACAAAAATTATTTCCAGTCCCGTTATGTAAAAAACTTCAGTGGAGTTCCTTTAATCAAATCAGTGCATTTTTTAAGGGGAAATTCTGCAAAATAAGGAAAAAAGATCATAAATGACTTTCGCAATCCAAGTTATTAACCGGGTTATTGTAATGCCGAAGTCGGCGGGCGGGCTTTTGGTTTCCGCTCAATAACTTTAGTTTGCTTTGGCCTCTTCACACTAAACCTGGTGTGTAGGTAGTTTATATTAAGAGGCAGCTTCGGAGTTCTACCCAGGTGTCTGTGATCAAGGTCAAGGTCAATGTTACTTAAAATAGAAATTCAGTTTCCGCTCAATAACATTAGTTTGCTTTAGCCTATTGACACCAAACTTAGTGTATGGTTAGCTTATATCAAGAGAGGCAGCTTGGGATTGCTAACCAGTTGTCTGTGATGAAGGTCAAGGCAACTGTTACTAAAATAGAAATTCAGTTTCCGCTCAATAACTTAAGTTTGCTTTGGCATATTGACACAAACCTTGGTGTGTTGGTAGCTTGTATCAAGAGGCAGCTTGGGATCTTTATCCAAGTGTCTGTGCTTAATGTCAAGGTCACTGTTACTAAAAATAGAAATTCATTTTCAGCTGAATAACTTTGGTATTTTGACACCAATCTTGGTGTATGGGTAGCTTATATCAAGAGGCAACTTTGGATTGCTACCCAGGGGTTTGTTATCAAACTCAATGTCACTGTTAATAAAAAAAGAAATTCAGTTTCAGCTCAATAACTTGAGTTTGCTTTTGCCTATTGACACCAAATTTGGTGTATGTGAAGCTTATATCAAAAGACAGCTTTGGATTGCTACCCAGATGTCAGTGGTCAAGGTCACTGTTACTAACAATAGAAATTCAGTTTCCGCTCAATAACTTGAGTTTGCTTTGGCCTATTGACACGAAACTTGATGTATGGGTAGCTTTATCAAGAGGCGGATTTGGATTGCTACCCAGGTGTCTGTGGTCAAGGTTAATGTATTCAGTTTTCACTTAATAACTTGATTTTGCTTTGACCTTTAGACACCAAACTTGCTGTGTGGCAGCTTTGGATTGCAACTTAGATATCTTGGAGCAACATCAAGGTCATTTACTTACAATACAATTTTCAGCTTCTACACAATAACTTCAGTGCACTTTGACCTATTGAGTGCCGTCACATCAAAACTTGGTCGTTGAAAACCTGGGTTTCGTCGCATTGCTGCGCTTTTTGTTTTGAAATAATGGTCATACTTAAATGATTAAAAGGCCCAATACGCCTGTAAAATCTTATAATTTTTGTTTCTATTTTCTTTTTCATGTCCTATCACAATTTCCAAAATACCGCTCATTGCCTGAATAACTAAACTATCTTTTATTGTTCATGCTTTTTGGTAATTAATACAATTATTGTTTAGTATTGTTTATGTATGGAAGTAAAACACTTTGTTTAGATTTAAGTGATGTTATACTTATTTCGTCATTGTCAAGATGAGCTAAATTAACTATATATTTCGAAAATTTGACTGTTAACATGGTCATTGACATACAGTTGTTATTGGACAATGTTTAGGATAAAATACAAATTTGCCTCGAATATAAAAAGGACTACCCACTCCTTTTATGAATTGACCGTATCAGATAATTTCCGATGGATTTTATGGAAATTCCTTTTGGTCATGTGAGTTATTTATCGGTCGTGCGAAGTAAATTATAAAATTGAGAGGAATGATGTAAAAAAGGTAAAAAATATTTTTACCCTCGCCTGTTCACTCACTTTATACCTTTGGACGGGCATAATGTCATTTAAACCATAAATATCATATTTTGTAAAAAAAATCGAATTGCGTTGCGTTATAAATTGAAAGGTATTTGGTCACACTTGAACAATCTATCAATATGTGTGTATATTTGAGGTTATTTATACTCGCCACCGGTTGTTAATATTGGCGAGTCATACAGTAGAATATTAGTCATTTAGAATTTTTGAAGGATATGCAAGATACAAATACAGTAAGATGCCCAAAGTCCAGAAATTTCACCTGGTTATTAAGTGTTAAGTGTTTAAGCGCTCTACGTGGACCTCGATTTAAAGTCTCATCCGAAAGACTGATAAGTACTTTAAATTGGCCAGACCGGGAATCGAACCCCCAATGTCGAGATTACAAGTGTCGCGTTCTTACCGATTGAGCTATGCAAGCTGGCTGCACATTCTATCAAACCGTCATATTCAGTAATTTAAGTATGACATTGATTTTTTAAATGACCTAAACTCAATACAGCATAAAATTCTGAGAGTGGATCCCCCTATTTTAAATACCTGGCTATGCATTTGTTCAATATGTAATGCTGCCCCATTGTCAGAATGTAAACAATTCATGTGTTTTTCTTGTAAGTCATATTTGTCCCAGCAAAAGGTACAGGCCAAGCCCCGAAAATCAAATGTAGTTCCCGAAATGATCCGTAACTGAATTAATGTATGTGTAAATAACTGATGTAATTTATAATTTATTTGGTAAATTTCATTTTATATATATGTGTGTGCCACGCAGTCAGATCATGTCAGATCTCGCTTCTTTCAGTAATTTAAAAGTTTTCTATGTGTCTTGTCAGATCAATGTGTTGCCTAAAGTTTCACAAACTAAGCTTCTGATCTGGAAAGTGAGTTTCCACTTTGAGTCATAAGAATCATTTCTGTTTCAAAAATACCTGCAGGTAAGGAAAAGGACAACAAACAGACCAACTTTAATCTGAGTAACGAATCAAAAGAGTCAAATAAATCGAAAACAAGTAGTGAACATACAGTTGACAAAACGAACGAAATGACCATGCATGAACATGCAGATAAAGAAGCGGACAATGTAAGTACACTTGGAAACAATAACGATAAAAAACAACAACTGTTCAAGCAAACGTGCAAAAGCTTCAAGCGAGCACGCAAAAAGAAATACATTTAGTTATCAAGAAATGTGGAAACAAATGAAGACTTGTTTCAGGATGCCAAAATCCCGGACAGGTTGACGACACTATTAAACTTTAACGATGCAAAAACACTCATTGATTTGAGCAATGAATAAAGTGCAAAGCTTGTCTTGAATTATAGTTTTTTAATGAAAGTAAAGTAAAAAGAAATAAAAACAATTCAAGACATTCTCATGATTATGATGCATTTTAAAATGATTGTCTATTCCTTCCGAAACTATACTTACGGTAGAACGCGACACTTTGCGAACTTTAGAGTAGCGTCTTGAAAATTGGCATGCAAAAAATTGACCATATTTCTGATTGGATTTCGTTGATTTTATTTCAATAGTTTCAGCCAATTTTGTTCACATGACGTCAAAGTTGACCATCAAAGCCCGTTTTTGAACATGACGTCGTTGCGTATCCTTGGCAACTGTTCCGGGTATTTCAACGCCATTGGCGCACAAAATATCTTAAATCCTACAGCATTCGACGGAAATTATTTTTTCCTTTAAGCAGATATAAAATTTATTGTTTTACGCCGAAAATTGTTTGAGTAATGGAAAGAAAATTGTCAATTTTGTGTAAAATTTGACGTTCAGTTTAGCCGCAATTTTGGGCTTTAAAGCGGTTTATTAAAAAATTCCTGAAATAAATTTTTGATTTTTTTCTTTAAACGTCCTTTAAAATGTATACTTAGTCAAATAACTAAAAACATTAGGGGGTAACCGACTCAATTTTTTCGGTACACGTGATTTTATTTCCCCCACCCCTTTGGATAAAAGTCACGCTATCACGGGGCGTTTGGTTTTTTGATGTTATTAAAACGATCGCCCTGTGTCAAAATCCCGCTTTTTACGGCATTTTACGCTACTATGACCACTGCGGATACAATAAAGGGTACGGAATTCCGTATATTATAGATAGACAGGTAAAAATAAGTGAAATTTGATGTACGGGACCGTATATCATGCAATATGTATATGACTTATATACCGTGATCCGTGCACTCGTAATATGCGGGAAATTTGAATGAAGTTCGTATTTACTAAAATACGTATTTTTTTTAATTACACGATCAGATATTACCAAAATATGTTTTTTTTTTATTCTTGTAAATACAGATTTTGTATATAAGACAGTGAATAAAGATGTACTTCAGAATTACCCACTTTCTACAAGAGGAAAGAAATAATAGTCTGATCTGACATTTGTCAGAATAACATTAAATAGTAAAACTTTGAGTAAATTGTAATATTTCTCGGTTTTATTAACATATCAGTTGCATACTGATTAAATAGTTAGTGAAACATCGGCAGATCCTCTATAGTGCCCGTAGCATGTACAGACAAAAAATGACGATATATATTGAAATATCTTTATTTTGTAAAAAGATTTACAACGCAACACTCCTTTGCGCAGTATCTAGCTCAGGGCCGCCGGTTCGCTAAAATCCGCAGACGTGTATTTACAGCGTTTCATTATATTTCATGTTTAAAGTACTGTTTCTAAATTTTCCTGTTCAAAATAAATTCTACCATAAATTTGCCTATACAGTGAATAATGAATATTTGCAAAGGCCGAATTGATAGTAATGTTTTTAATACAGCTTTTATGGTGAATCCTCAATTAATCGTTATTTTTAACATTATGATAATTATTCTAAAATGATAAGCAAAACGAGAGAATATGTATTACAGATACTTGTAGAATCGAACGTGCTACTTCTGTAATCCAACACCCACTGAGCTAACGTTTAAAGCATGACTGTTTGCTTCACACTAATATAATTGATGTTAAGTTTCATTTATGAACCGTATATTTTAATTTGTCAATATTTCGCCAATTCTGTAAAATTGTTGCAATAGTTTTTGATTATAAGTGAAATTCAAATTCTGGTTTTTAATAGGTGAAATAAAATACATATCACTCACAGTATATCACTCATAGTGTGGGTAATGCAAAATGTATAGATTTGCAGAATTTCTTATGGACTACGTATTTATTTATGATTGAATTTCCGTAAATTTCTAAATTTACATAAAAATATATAATTGCTTTTTGTTCCTTAAGGCATATTTCTCGATTCAGGTTTATTAATCTTATTGTATTACAATATCAAAAAGGAACACCGCAAATGATTACTCTCAGCTGTATTTATTTTTGTTTGCGCAGCGTACGCGTTGCCGTTGAACGCCTGACGTCATTTTCTTTACATGCGTCTGTTTTCAATTCCTTATGAAGTTATTAATCATGCTTAAAAACAAGAAATAAAATCGTTTGTTTTTCGTACAATTTTAAGAATTTGCAATGGAACATTGTTGTTGTTGTTTTATATGTATTAGTAAAACTCTAGAACAATTCTCCTGATAAGCTGAACATTATTGCCGCACTTTGAAGTCTGAAACGTATCTGCATACGTCGAATTTCGTTACAAAATTACTCAAGGGGTGGGGGAAATAAAATCACGTGTACCGAAAAAATTGAGTCGGTGACCCCCTAATTTTTTTAGTAATTTTGACTAAGTATACATTTTAAAGAACGTTTAAAGAAAAAAATCAAAATTTATTTCAGGAATTTTTTAATAAGCCGATTTAAAGCCCAAAATTGCGACTAAACTGAACGTCAAATTTTACACAAAATTGACAATTTTCTTTCCATTTCTCAAACAATTTTCGGCGTAAACCAATAAATTTATATCTGCTTAAAGGAAAAATAATTTCCGTCGAATGCTGTAGGATTTAAGATATTTTGTCCGCCAATGGCGTTGAAATACCCGGAACAGTTGCCAAGGATACGCAACGACGTCATGTTCAAAAACGGGCTTTGATGGTCAACTTTGACGTTATGTGTACAAAAATTGGCTGAAACTATTGAAATAAAATCAACGAAATCCAATCAGGAATATGGTCAATTTTTTGCATGCCAATTTTCAAGACGCTACTCGAAAGTTCGCGTTCTACCTTAAGTTGCGGGTATTGTCCTATATTTTCAACAGCAAGTGTATGTATCTCCAACATACGGAATGCCGTTAGGGCCATCGCCTATGAATGTGTTGATCTAAAACGCGATAGTCGATAGTACGATGGTGAAAACGCGAAATCACGAAACTACGATGGTGAAAACGCGAAAGCACGATGATGAAAACGCGACAGTACGATGATGAAAACGCGACAGTACGATGATGAAAACGCGACAGTACGATACTACGATGATGAAAACGCGATAAACTATCGTGTTTTCACCATCGTACTGTCGCGTTTTCACCATCGTAGTTTCGTGATTTCGCGTTTTCATCATCGCACTGTCGAGTATCGCGTTTCAAATCAAACCGTTCATAGGCGATGGCCCTAACGGCATTCCGGAATGCCGTTAGGGCCATCACCTATGAATGTGTTAATCTAAACCGCGATAGTCGATAGTACGATGGTGAAAACACGAAATAAGAAACTACGATGATGAAAACGCGATAATACGATGATGAAAACGCGATAGTACGATGATAAAATGCGATAGTACGATGATGAAAACACGACAGTACGATGGTGAAAAAGCGATAATGCGATGGTGAAAACGCGACAGTACGATGGTGGAAACGCGATAGTATGATGGTGAAAACGCGATAGTACGATGGTGAAAACCCGATAGTACGATGATGAAAACATGGCAGTACGATGATGAAAACGCGAAATCACGAAACAACGATGGTGAAAACGCGACAGTACGATGGTGAAAACACGATATTTTATAGCGTTTTCATCATCGTTGTATCGTACTGTCGCGTTTTCATCATCGTACTTTCGCGATTTCATCATCGTGCTTTCGCGTTTTCACCATCGTAGTTTTGTGATTTCGAGTTTTCACCATCGTACTATCGACTATCGCGTTTCAGATCAACATATTCATAGGCAATGGCCCTAACGGCATTCCGTACCAACATGTCCAAGTAATATTATCCAGCAAAGAGTTATAGATATTACTGAAATCGGCTGTTGATTTAATTCATGCTAATATCATACTGTTATGTGTATTTGATACACTGAAATTGATATTAACAAAATATGTTTGTGACCTTAATTAAATGAAAAGTAAAGAGTATTCTTAACAAAAATACGTATAATACTGATTTTCTTTTACTGCAGAGTCACATAAAGGCTTTGTTGGCCAATGAAAAATTGAGTGAAAGTATTTTAGGTAAGTAAATACTTCCTTTTTTATTTTGAGCCTGTAAATATCAAAGTATGATAAGTTTATCTTTAGGCTGTATGCTGTTTGTTTTCGACTTGAATGTCGGCCAATAAGCAGGTTTTTAGTAATTTTGTCGCAGATATTGCCTGAAATGTTAATTTAAGAAAGTTCTTTGCCGGAGATTTAAATCTAAATAAGGCTTTATTTGCCAACAGAAGATATACATGCATTTCCCGGTCCTAATACGGTGACTTTTTTCGAGCACCTAACACTGCAACAGCAATTTAGCATTGAATGTGTGTATTTACAATGCCAATCCCCCAGTTCAAAAAAGTTTCCACAAAATGCACAGATTAATTCATCTGTTACCTACTTTTAGCCTAAATTTATCATGGTCGAGTACATTTAAAGATATTTTTTGTTCGTAGTAATAATTCGTATTTAATTACACATTTGTTGACAGTCATTCAGATAGAAGAGTGGTATGGAAAATCATATTGTTACGAAAACGACGAAAACAAATTAAGATATCATAAAATGAAGTTACTTTTAATGGCCATAACGTTATTCGGCTGGATTGATTAAAGAGTTCTAGCAGCCGGAAACAAGTCGAGATAGGTGTGTGTTGTATATGGGCTTTCATTTAAGTTGTAAACAAATGAACTAAAAGCAAGTAATGCTGACATAATTATAAAATAAACATGTTGAAATAAAAATGTTTATTTAGGGAAAAGACGAATTTTGCCCAATTTGAATGTCGAAGAGCAATCCCTGCATCATTTTCTATTCCGCCGTAATTGTGTGTTTTTTTACGTTTTTCAAATTGAAAATCAGTGAAAACAAAATTCTAAATCCTGTATGTTTTTACTTTTTATGCCCCACCATGAAATGGCTAGAGAATATAGTGTAACTCTGTTCCGTGATTCTGTCATTCCGTCGTCAACAATTTCCGTTCATTATATTGGCAACAGTTGCACACATTCAATATAATATGATAAACAAGATCAACAAGGAAAGGCGGCGTTCTATATGGATATATCATAGGAAAACGGAGGTTTTGTTTGAATTTGGTTATCGTTCGATGATTTTGTGAAGAGTAACGTCCCTTTAACTTAAAACACGATTTTTTTATTTTCCGTTCATTATCTACCAAACAGTAGTACGAATTCATCTCGAATTTAACTAATGGTTATGTCAAAGATATGCCAAAGTAAGGTTTGAATTTGGTCATGGTTTGATGATTTTTGACATTGTTATCCTTCTTTAACTTTGAAAAAAGAAGAAATTTTCAATTTCCGTTCATTATCTCCCCAACAGCTGTACACATTTAACTGGATATGTCAATAAATATGCAGGTCAAGTCCGAATTCGGTCATGATTTAATAATATTTGCAAGAGTGATGCCCCTGAAACTTTGAATTAATTAAGGAATTTTCAGTTTACGTTAATTATCCTCCCAACAGTTGTACGAATTCAGCTCAAATTTAACATATGGATATGTCAAAGAAATGCCCAGGTCAAAATATGATAAACAAGATCAACAAGGAAAGGCGGCGTTCAATGAACTCATTCCCCACACGACCAGTGGCAAGGAGCCCAGGAGGAACCTAAACAAAAACAGAACAGGGCGCAAAGGAGAGCACGGACAGACTTATCACCAAAATGACACATAAGACGAAACAACAGCAAGCGACAATGAAATCAAAATCAAAGAAAACAATTAAATGAGTCATTAACAGGCCCACAAAGTAAAAGGGGAAGGGGAAAGGAAATTAGGGGAAGGGGATAGGAAATTCGAGGAAGGGGGAAGGGGCGAAGTAAAGAAATAAAACTAGGGGCAAAAGTGAAGATACTTATCGAAGACGAGAAAACAACAAGGGGCACAAACCAAAGTGTCACTAAGACAGTATGAAACAATAAGATATACATCTGAGGAACACAGAGGGGTGCCGCTTAGGAACGGTCAGCAGCATAAGTACTGCTGGGGAGTTTAAACCAGTTAATGGTGCACCAAACCTAACTCTTAGCTCCACCATGTTCCTATTAACAACACAGTGTAAATAAAATGAATCCTCGCCAAGTAAAATTCTAACAGTTGTTACAATTATAAAAGGTGAAATAAGTAAAACAAAAACTGATCATGTATAAACATAAAAGTAAACCCAATGACCATTACAAAGTACATAATGTCTTAATGAAAGACATAGCAACAAGAAAATCACCTACAAAGGCCCGACGAAGCAAACCAGAAGACGAACATTAAGGCTAATCAGGCCTAAATGGCTTTAAGAACTGTCCATCAAAGAGTCTCCCAATTGGTCCATCAGATGTAATCTGAATAGGAAAGCGTAGTGTTCAACTGTAAAATACTTGAAATAGTAGGGTCATAACCTCTTTTAATAAAACGTTTAATTATTTTAGTAAAAACAGCAGAAAAATTACCTTGACCCAAAATCTTACAAAGTTTGTAAAACACATTGCCATACAAACCAGACTGGCTAATCACTTGTCACAGAAGTATTTTTAAATCACTATTTATTTAGAAATTAATTAAATCAAAATTACGATTGAAAAATTTTGTAAAATATTTCCGTATTATATGTGCCGTGTGTAAAAAGTCTCTCCGTACATCTAATCAATGATGTTATATTTTCGATCCTTGAAGATCGTTCAGCACGACATTATTGTTGTGTATACATTTTAGATGGTATTTTTAGTTTCTTGTATTTGGCCTTTTTTTTTAACTCGGGGTGGTTCCAGTATTCCTACTTGAATACTGTATAATCACCCTTAGGATATGTTGCCTGCTTTTTCAATTTGTCTTTTGACGTCTTGTCTGTGATATGCAGGCTTCATAACCTAAGATCCCCTTTCAAAATTCCATTTTATTTAGTTCCGCCCATTGTTTTCTCTTTTAGGGCACATGCATTCTTTTACTTGGGGAACATACGCCGCTTTTCATGGAATGACATTACTGTGTCACATTGAAGGTTCCATGATAACCGTCGTATGAACACATCTGCGGATGTTTCAAATGTCAAAATTTCACCATTTTTCATATTTAAAATATGAATTCTGCTTAAGCCGATGCTATTGGGCGAGGACGGTATATTGCACTTTCCAGTACCGTCCATGAACAGGCTTATCAAACCGAGCCTGTAACATTTTACAATTTTGCCGTGTTGGGCTTTCTTTAGGGATTCTGTTTTTATCTATTTTATGATAGCGGTAGCCCTGTTTTAGAAGCTTGCTGGTAATGAAAATATTCCGCTCGTTGAAATCTCCACGTTGCTACACGCTCTAGCGAATCTAATTAATTGAGAAACATATACCCCGTAAGAATACGTGTGCCAAAAAAAGAGAAAACAATGGGCGGAACTAAGAAAAATGGAATTTAGAAAGGGGGTCTGAGGTTAAAAAATCTCGAAACAAAGTGATCTCTCGGAAGCATTAATCACAACGAAATTACATAACAATTGCAGACTCGGTTTGATTGAGTCTGTACATGAGGGATAATGAATGAGTGCAACATCCCTCACGCCCCCTAGCACCTTCCCCCTAGGAAGCCTACATATCACAGATATAACGGATATTTTTACAAACTATGTTTCCCTTTTTCTGCTTATTTGCAATTCTGAAAATATGAACTGTTTACAAGAAAAAAAACTGTAACACTAGGTACAGAACGACTTCACTCTATTGTTCTATAGCACATATGACGTCATGCATAGGATATGCGTTTTTATGGAGTCGTAAAAGTTGTATGAACAATGTGTACTTTTAACTAAGCTCTTTGAAATATTTTTTGTGTTGAGCTAAAGTGTAGGTTAGGATCATGTTCTATGCAAGATAAATTAGGCAGACATTTACATCACTAAAGATGTGTCTCAACGTAATATTTGGTTAAAGTTCTTGCAAAGTCATTTTGGGGTATTTCGTATCGAAATTGCATGCATACTGATGAGGGTAATGATCTACGTGGCATAGCATTCTTCGCTTAAAAAAACAAGAATATTTTTAAAAATAGGGTATTTTTACAAACTATGTTTACTTTTTTCTGCTTTGTTTTGTTCGATGGTTCTACAACAGAAGTGGCGATGGCTCAGATTTAAACAGATCAACAAAATGTGAAAGAGCCACTGTTTAGTAGGCGTGCATATGCAATATCCAATTTTCAAAAGGTTAACACTGAATAGTTTCAGGGTCTTGAACTTTGTAAAGAAATTGTTTGTGTTAACATTGAATCGTTTAAGGGCTGAACAAAATGGTTTGTACAAACAAATTCCAAACAAATTTGGAACTAAATATGCGGGGGAGGGGGCATTCGTGGTGTTACGACACATTTCTAAATGTTTAATCATATTCTCCTCGTTTAAAAGTTTCTGTGTCATTTAATAGTTTATATTGTACTAAAACGTTTTTCAGCGTCATACTCTTTAATGTAACGTTCGTGTCACGTGTTTGCCATTGAGTGCCTGATAATAAGTATGAAGTAATGATATGTACTATTGTCCAGTAATATACCCTCTGATACCGTGTAAATAAATTTTACAAGAATGGATATCAGTTACATTAAAACATCAGTAAGAATGCATTCATGAAAACACATTTATCAAAAGTTAAATTGTTGGTGAAACAACATAATATTCCAACCTGACACACAATGTACCAGACGAAATTGATATTGATAGCAGTAAATGTATACCTTAAAATGATTAAATACGCGTTAAAACATCAGTTAGGTTGTTTTCATGGAAAAGCCATTTGCTTGATGAGTGCTCTTTTTTATCTTTGCCACACAGTGTTTATTACTCATGTCATATAACATGATGCAACATTTTTGGATTAGCTAATATAAATTTTTATTTTCAGGTACCCCTGAATTACAAATTGACTGGACAAATGTTTTCATACAGTTATCAAGATCGTTACCTGCAACACGCTGGAAATTATTTGCATTTCATTTACTCAGTAAGCCTGTATAAATTAGACATATCTAAAAACCCACTTCAGGATAGTCTGACACTTAAGTAATCTGTGTAAATCATTTTTATGAAACAATGAAATATTATATTTTTCTCATCCTATCATTTAATTGCTTTGTAGTCAAAAAGTTTTCTGTTATCTAGAGATAGGCAAAATAATAGAAATTTTATAGGGTATAGTAATATCTTCCTTTATAGTGTTCAGACATATAATAAAACACACATTGGTTAAGGTGTCTGCCTCTCAACCCAGAGATCATGGGTTCAAGCCCTACTCGGGTCACGACCATGTTTCTTCATATGACACCAGTTATGGTTGATTCCAGGAATCGGGCTCGAAAGTGATTAAAATAAGTTGCAAGAGTTTGTTTTGCAATCGAGCTTAAAGCTGCATTAAATAAATATGTTAAAATATTTTTGCCGTCGGCCTAAAAACCAAGCATTCTACAGTTCCATTAACCTTTTTAACAGTATCGTTGTAAATCTCATCAAATATTGTTCATAAATTAGGATTTGAAATGGAAAACCCCACGGTAACACTAAAGTTCGTATACGGATTTTAACAATCAAATGAAGACTATAATCAGCACGTGTATGCGCTACGTCACGGTGTTATAGTTGCTATCCGAACACAGCAAATATAAGATTTTCTTGTGCAAACACACTTTTACCGTTTAAGCTTCACGGCGCACTAGGCCTGTGGTTCACCAAAGATAATCATCTCATGAAAAGATTAAATTTGTATGAAAATATCCGTTACAATGCAGAAATATACCGTTAAAATAGGACTGCTACTTATAGTCATGTTTGTTATTTTAATATTGATGTATGGATGATCTGAAGGCGGAGTTTCTCATGCAAACAGAAATTGTACTTCCGAATTCGCCACAATGAGGTTGCACATTTTTATGCTCAGTAAACTCATTTTTGTTGTCTGGACACCAAAATTAGATCTGGAGTCGATATGAAACCCAATTTATTAATGAAATGTCGCTATTTCTTTTTTTATGAAATTTATTTAATGTAACTTTAAATAAACATGTTTAAACCGAAATATAATAAATGCTTTAATATTATTACATTCGTCTGTAGGCAATTGTCAGGAGATGGTTAGAAGCGTTTATTATACAGTTAATGAAATTGAGCGAGAAGCAAAGAATCAGCATACAGAAGGTGGGGTCATTCACGCTTACATTAAAGTATTCATGAAATGGCTTGACAATGTGGGCAGGACAAATGCAACCTTTGGACATATTAAAGATGCTGTTTCTGCGACTATAGAGGCTAAAAAAGCTTCAGACCTAGTTCTTTCTATCGAAAGGTTTGATTTGTTTTGCTAAATATATAAGTTTTATCAGAATAAATGTAAAAATATGTGTATCAGATTACAAGAAAATTATGGTTAACACATTTATTAGGTAGGAATTAGTATTATTTTGAATTATATCGATTTATATTCAATGGGTTTTTGTTTTAAAAGACATTTATAATATTCATTTATCCTGTCACTTGTATCAATTTCGGCCCGATATAAGGTGCCGTATATTTTTACTGACGTACGGCACTTGATCACGTGGTATGCATTTTGCCGGACTAGTTTTCAAGAAAAAAACAGGATTATTATTATAATGTTGGACTTTGTATTTTGTTGTTACATTTGTTTTCGCCTCAGAGTTTCCAATAGAAACGTACTTTACAGGCCGTTCCAGTGGTATGAAAAAAACTGTCGTTAAATCTTCTGTATGTAGAATAACGAATTTTGGAAACGTTGATGCCAATAACGTTGCGACATTAAAATAGCGTACTTAATTTGATTGTTTTGCACGTGCTGTTTGGCGCTACATTGTGACGTCACGTAAACAATACTTTAAACGTCTGTACAGCGTTAACGACTTTTGGTGTTCGAATTCATTTTCTTAGTTAGACCATTTTCTTTCATTCTAGATAGTTTTCACAACAAAATTCGACAAAAAATTGTTTTTATTTATCACATTTTTCAAACAAAATGGCGCCCTCAATGTGAAAATACACAGGGAGATAATAAGAACGGCGAGTGCATTGTTGTAGTATAATGCACGCTTCGGTCCTTCTTCGTTTATATAGAAACATTTCCGATAGTGTGATAAAAGGTAGTTTGCCTAATAAAATTCTTTAAAAAACGGTGACAGGATAAATAGAATAATAGATTGGTGCCGTGGATGGAGAAAGTTTATCTGGCTCTGCTCCGGAATTTATTGGGTTCGCCTTCGGCTTACCCAATAAATTCCTCCGCCTCGTCAGAAAAACTTTCTCCATCCACGGCACCAACCTATTATTCTCTATGTCTGTGGCGACCTTAGTATATAGATATCACACCAAATAGAGACCCATTTCAGCCTTGGCATTGGTTTGACTTACATTGCCTTGTACAGTGACCATCAGTGAAATATAATGTTACTTTTATTGTACCAAACAAATTAAAAGTCAAGAAAGATGTAAAACATAATAATTTATAACTTAAACTCGGCACCGGCATCATACCTTTTACCGTTTAGAAATATCACCAGGCAAAGTAATGTCGCATTTTGAGATGATGTATTTTTAGACTATATTATCTTATAAGGCATAGCAATATATTAAATTAATCACGTGTGGTTTTATTATATGTGAAATTCAACAAAGCTAACCAATTTAGTAATGAAGCTTTACGAACGTAAAGTTTTATTTGCCACATAATGAAAATATGTTTACAGAAAAAAACTGTTAAACTAGATTCAGAACGGCTTCCCGCTATTGTGATATATAGCACATATGACGTCATGCCAAAGATATACGAAGTCGTAAAGTTGAATGAACAATTTTATGAATTTATGTGCTTTTAACAGAGAATTTTGTTGAAACTTGCAATTGCTTGAAAGGATAATAAGCAATCGACAATCGACATTCAATGTTTAGCTAGGCGATCAACATTAAGCTAAACATTCGATATTTGTAAGTAAAAAGCGAATGTCGAGCTAGACAAAGGACATACAGCTTATCATTTGACATAAAGAATGGTGATCTAGACGATTGACTATCAGTGGCATGGAATATAACCAACGATGAGCTATTTGTACGCCGTATAACTATAAATAAAACGTTAATATGCGTTATTGTACGATTAATATCGGCGAAGCAAAAGAACGGTAGCCAGAACATTTTTCTCACAAATTTAATTAAAAGCAAAAACTATTATGGAAATATATATTAGAAGAGCTAGAATATAATGTCCTAGCAGTCGAATGAGCTATTTCTTTTCTAATTTAAAATATATATCTGTCTTTTTTCCTATGCGAAGTGGTCATCCCATAAATTTGCACAAATTAGCTTTCCTGCATAATTTAAACAACCTTGCGTTACGGGATATACGTACACGGTAATTATGTAATGCTAATCTTAAATGCACGTGTTTCTAGACTTCACATACATGTATTTTCTTTTGTATAGATAACAATAGAACAAAAACAGGTCGGTATATATTTGCACAGCTGTTAAGCGCTCGGAAAGAGATTTGCTAGACCGCTTTTAACAAAAGAACTGGTAGGCAAAATTTGCATTAATTCTTAATGCACAGGGTCAGGGTGTCAACGTATAGCGCTGCGATACTCCTTTGAGCGAGGTAAAATCATGTGATACGGAATAATGGCCCATGAAAGCGAAAACAAAAGTGGGTATGAGCATGTTTTTTCTTCAAATATTTGTTTTCCATTGTAATTTCGTGAAGAATAGCATTGTGCATGCTAATCAGAACTTTCAATTGTGCATGACCATCAAAATGAAATACTCAATTTTATAGTATTGAAGAAGTTATTGAGGTATTTGTTGCTGCAAATTCAACCGTCAACCTGATATGCACATGCAAACGAATACTGTATCAGTAGTTTTTAAACGATATATTCGATTAGTTTAAGTCCCAATATATTAATTTGTGATAACAAAACGATATACAACAGTAGTTTTCATTATCTATCCGAAAATATATACAAATTTCCAGTTTTCTTACTGTAGGCCTAACATTTGGTCCGATAAACCATCTGAACGCACACATTTTGGTGTGTTTTTCTGTAGCGACGGGGACTTCCTCATTACAGTACATTCTTCTTCAATATTGATGAAATATCAAGTTTTGTGTTTGTATGTTAATCACAGTGTCAATTAAAACAACACACACACTATGATATTGTTAATTTTAATATTCTTTTCTCACAAAGGTTAAATATTAAAATTAGATAAGTTATTGCACAGAAACTTGAAATTCTATCAAATATTCAATGGTGGCGATAATATTCGTTTTGTTTATTCCATTCATTCAGAAACGGTTTATAATTTAATATATCTTTTTCTATTATTAATTACATATTTAGGTTATCAGAAAAAAATAACTTTAATTAAAAAAGCAACATATAAGAAGTGGATCTTCTATTGTATTACATGCACTGGTCGGAAAAAACGCCCCCTACTGTTCTTATGTTCATTCAATACCTTGAGAAGTACATGTAATAAATTGTTTTGTTGTTGTTTTTTTCCCAATGACACTTGAAATTGTATGAAAAAAATACTGGTTTGATTTCCTGCTATGGGTTGGATGTGTCATATATTTTTTTAAGAAAATAAAAATGAACATTGACAAAAGCCTATTAGATGACCCCTTTTTGTTAAATGTCATTTTAGGTCAAAGATTAAAGCCATTGTGGCACTTTCATTATACAGGCTTGAAAGTAGTTCTACTTTTGCCTACTAATGGAAAAATAAATCACAAACAAGATACAGTACAAAAAACAAGACTCTTATTGTTGAAAAGGGCGACACATTTTTGGAATGAAGATACAGTAGCTATGAACGTTGTTAAAAATTGAAAGATGAAAAGAAATATAGTTATCTAATATCTTAGAGTAAACGTTACTTTTTCCAACTCCTAATTATCACGGGTAGATATCTGATTATTAAAATTTAGTTCTTGAAAATAGAAACACTGATATAGATGAAACGGTAGATCTCTTACTATAATCATAGGAAAACAGCGTACAGTTATTTTATGGCACCAAAATCCAGCGTACACTTAAATGTTTTGACCAATAGGCGTCTATGTATATCGGAGCACAAAAGTTTTTGCTATGCAACTCAATTATGATTACCCTTATAGAATAAAATGAATTTAACTATATTAATTAAAGCTTGCTTTAAGCGATTTTATTCACTGATACAAACTATTTGCCGTCAGTTTACATTGAATTTCAATAACTTTTTCTAAATTATGAATTCAAGCCTCTTTAATGTTGATAAAATGCGTGTCGGTCATTTCTTTACATCTTCAATACAAAATATGCAATTGTAATCCAAGATTTATTAAAAAATTAATAAAATACACTCCCTCTGACGTGTGTTTACACGAATAAATCTGCCATTAGTCCGTATCGCATGATTTCACCTCGCTTAAAGGAGTATCGCACCGCTATACTCTTGACTCCCTGAGTTCCAGTGATTTTATTCAATTTTGTCAACATAACCTGATAACATAATCATTTCCAGTATTGTGCTGCATTGGGTTTAATAATTGGAATATAAAAATAAATCTCAGTTTGGGTTATTATTCAATGTAATACTTCTTGTAATTATCAAGTGACTTAGATCCTTTTTACTAAGACTTATTCAATATTAAGAACTTTTTAATGCAAAAAAAAATGAATTGTTTAAAGTTTCCATAAATATTTAAGTATTATTGCTTGTGAATGTAGTTTATTGAAAATTTACATTTACACTTAAGGGAGTTAAAATAATTATCTATAGAGTAAAGGGTTAAAATAATTTCAAAACGATTGTTCAGGTACAAATTGAACAATTAACAAGACATTTTGAATTTCCAATGTTGAGCAAGATAATCGATATTCAGCTTTACATTCGATATTCGTGAGATAACGTTGTATTTCCAGAATGAATGTTTAGCTAGACTTTAAATAGTATCAATGATGAGTTAAACAATCGAGAACTAGCTCAACATTCGATATTTCTAGTTTTAAATGCATGCATAACTTAAAAAGAATGTTAATCTAGAAAATCAACAATTCGCTAGACATACAAAACTACAAATCTTGAACTAGTCAATCAACATTCAGCTCAGTATTTTGTATGCGTTTATTAACAACGTTATTCCAAAACGAATGTTTATATAGAAGATAAACAATCAGCTTTAAAATCAAAATTAGAGAATCGATTACAATTCATCATTATTATGACATTATTTAGCATTAATTTTAATATCATTTCAAAACGAATGTTAAGCTAAACAATCAGCAAACAGCTTAA